AATGGTCAAAATCAACAACAACAACAACAACCTTATTATAAACCAGAATATGATTATAGTAATCAACCAGGTAATGGTAATTATAATCAAGGTTATAATAATCAAGGCGGTTATAATCAACCTCCAACTTATCAACAAACAACTGGTAATGGAACGAATGCTGGTGCTAATGATGTTAGTTATGAAAGACCTGAAGGTCCTCCTCCAGGTGTTCAAGAACCTTCATATCCACAAAATGCTCATACAAAATATTAATCTTGATATTCATTTTAGAATTATTGATTAAAGTCTTTTTAATGGACAATAGAATTGAAGTTTATACCACTTGACAAGAATGAACAAGACTATTACTTATCCAGTTTTTCCACTTATGAAGTTTTATGAAGAGCTGTATTATACCTTTATTTTTTTATGTGTTTTGATGCTTATATTTTTAACAATTTACCTTTTTATGTTTATACTTTCTGATATTTGTTATATCTAATTTGTTTAATACTATGTTTTTTTAATTATATTTGTTTAGAGTAGTTGATTTTTTTGATTTTGAATAGGGCGGTTAATGATTAGTTTATTTCCTTGATACTGATGCTTTTGTTAAAAAGAAGATGGAAAACAATAAACCTTGGAAAAGTAAGTAAGTGATCCTTGTTTTAGGAATTCAATCACTTGATATAAAAATTTTCAATTAACAGGAGTTCATTTTTGAAAATGTAAAATGTACACCGGCTTTCTATTAATGACCTTGAATACATTTGACACCATACAAAAGCAGTAAAATCAATTTCCTATAAGGATAAGTCGATATCCAAATTAGTGCAACAAGTAATTCAACCCTTTGGTAACTACCAATCTAACTTGCTCTTTCATTAACCAAACTCAACCCTTCCATTCTATTCACGGTACTTAAACATTCCCATTTGTTTAGTTCATGCAAGGAATGAATAGTTATAATTTACGCAGGAGTAATAATGAAATGTACAAATGAGTATCACTAAAATCACGAATTTGGTTTAAAAAGTGTACGAATTGGACGATCCAAGATACAACATACCATACAAAATATTGTTCATGCTTCTTGTGCAATCTTCAATTCCTGTTGCGCCTCAAAAGGGATGGACATTTTTTTAGAGTATGTGATGATTTGTAAATCTAACATCCAAGGGTCTATTTCTATACACTACCACCAGATTAACTCTTAACCATCGATCTGATCAGATTCAATGTCAAGGACTCATTACACGGATCTTGAACCTTTACAAAGCAATGATGGTTCTAAGATTCTAGACTTGGATACCATACTCTATCTTGTAATTCTGGTGAAGTTGGAACTTGGAAGGAGTTTATTATTATGGTAAATGTAGAAACACGCGTCATAATTATCGCGTTGTCGCGTTGATTTCACAGATTTTTTCAAAAACTTGCATTCGCGTTTTCCAAAACAAAGATGCATGGAATTCAAAACACTAAAAATTTGAAAAGTAAACAAATAAATAGAAAGTATAAGTGTGAATGTATGTGAAGTATTGGATTTTCTAGTACAAATTCTTAAGAAACCACCCCTTATAAACAGTGAACACGTAAATTTTAATGACAAGAGGATTAAAACACGATAAATTTGTTTAAATTTGTTAAACTAGATCCGCGTGTTCAAGTAAAAGGTAATCAAATGTACATGAAATAACCATTGGAAATAGATACTTATACTTTCAATTCAACTCCTTTGGAAAACTATATAAGTACTCGAAACTTTCCTCTTTCAATCGATTTAATTCTTCTTTGTCTTACATTCATCAAATCAATCCACTCATTTAAAAAGTATTCCAACTATTTTACATTCATTTAACAAACAATATAATTCACAATGAAATTCTCATCAACTATTGCTCCAATTGCTTTATCATCAATTGTTATTGCTCAATCAACTTCAACCGCTGTTGTTAATGAAAACCAAACCACTTTAGAAACAATCACCTCATGTTCCCATGAAGCTTGTACAGCTACAACTTCAAAAGCCATTGCTACTGAAACTGCTACTGAAACTGGTTCAGATGATATTGTTTATGCTACCACCACTGTTGATTCATCATCATCTCCAGCTGGTCCATCAGATTCATCATTAACCAGAACTGATGCTTCAACTTCAACTGCTCCAACTTTAGCTGGTGCTTCATCAGTTGCTTCATCAGCTTCATCAGATGATGTTACCTATGTTGATGAAACTACAACTCCAACTGTTACAAAATCAACTTTAGCTTCAACTGATGTTACTACAACTCCAACTTTATATACTACTTACAACTCTGGTAATTATTCAAATGGTTCAGGTCAAAGTTCAATTGCTCAAGTTTCTTCATATGAAGGTAGTGCTAACTTAGTTAAAGGTGGTGTCTTAGGTGGTGTTTTAGCTGTTGGTGTTGCTTTATTACTATGATTTTAAGAAACAATCATTTTAATGAACAATATCTTATCTGCATACCTTTTTTAACACATTTTACCAATTTTCAACATTAATTTAAATTATAGATCTTTTTTTATTAATGTTAATTTAATTTATTCAGTTCAAAGAAAGAAAAATGTTTTGATGTTTTTTTGGTTATTTTTATATATAGTTTTGGTTTTTTAGTTTTTTTGTTTGGTTTTGTTGTATAATAGATTTAATGACAATTTAAGGTTATAAAAATATTTGTAGTACATTCATAGTATATAGACAATGCATAATTGATTGGATAATCTTGATACTCTGAGAATTGACTGTGTATATACATACTCATTATAAATACTAGCTGACCATTGATTACATTAGTCGGTTACTCTACTTCAATTATGTTCAATATGTCATGTATAATCATAAATAATTTGTATAAGTCATAAATAATATAAATAAATAATCAATCAAGGACCAGCTCAACGATTATAAATAAATAATGTATAATTGTTTATATTCTTCAAAAGTCATTAACAGTCTAGAAGATTGTATTTCAATACTCTGCTAATCTTAATTTTTCACTCAATTGTCTACTTGTAAATCCAGCTTTTTTAAATCCAAATCTTTCAGGACTATTACCTCTTGATTTAATTTCATCATCTTCTAAATCAAAATAACCATAACCACCTAATAAATAATTTAAATTACCTGATCTTGGAGTTGATCTACCTCTTGAAGATTGATCAATTTTTGGTTTTAAAAATTCTTCATTATAAATATGTGAAATTTCTTCATAATAATTCTTTAAAGTATCAATAAATCTTTGAGTTTGACGATGTTTTGATGATACACAAACTGTTATAGAATTTGATTTTATAATATATGCAATACCAAATCCATTTGATGAAGTTGGACCAAAACCAAAATTTTTTAATGCAGGATTACCACAATTTGAAGTTGAAATTATTGAATTATTAATTTTATCCCAACCTGAATCTGCAAAAATTGATGGAATTTCATTTTTATTTAATTTTTCTAAAACTGGATCAGAATCATTACCAATTGTTACATCTGAATTATCATCATCTGAATTATGACCATTATCATTTGAACTTTCATCATCTTGATCTTGGTCTGCAACATAACGTTTCCAAATATTAAATAATGCATATAAATGACGATCTTGACCTTGACCATTTGAACAATTTTTTGTTGTTTTAGAATGTTTTGAACATGCTTTTTGTAATAAATCTAATTTTTCTAAATTTTTTGAATCTTCAAAAAATCTACGAACAAATTGATTTGATTCTAATGAAACTGTTCTTATGGATTCTGTTCTACCATGGAAAAATTGTTTAGTCATTGCAGGTTCATAAGTACATTCAACTTTACCATATAATACATAATAAGCAGCTTGAAATGACATTTGAACAAATGCATCAGGTGAACATTTTAATTTTTTAATAAAATCTGAACCATAATTTTTAAATTCAAGACATGCAAATTCATATTGAGAAATTAAATCAGAAATTCTTGTTTCTGCAAATCTTAAAGCTAATGATAAATCAGAAGTTAAATTCCATTCTAATTTTCTTGGTATAGTTATAACATTTGTATCAATTGAATTTTGATTTTTCAATAAAGGAGATTTTGTTTTCCAAATTGATGGAGAATTTGAATTTATTGATTTGGCAAATTTTAATATGGAATCAGTATAAATATCTGAACAAAATCTTAAAACAGTATGACCATCAACACCAGTATGTTCAAAATTAATACCAGCTTTTGCATTTTTTGTTATAATTAATTGTAATTTATCATACCATCTATTTGTACAAGTACCAACTTGAACACCTTTATCTAATTTTGAAATACCACAAAGCATATTCATTGATAAATCATTTAAAGTTTCTAAATTTAAATCATCTAAAATAACCATAAATAAAGCAGAATCAATAATTTTTAAAATTTTATAATTAATTTCATCATTAATTAAATTATTTCTTAAATTTGCCCAATTTTTACGATTTTCTGTTGTTAATACACCAAATGAAGATCTTGCTAATTCACTTGGAGTTGATTTTTGTGAATCTTTTAAAATACTTTCAAAATTAATTGAAATTTCATCATCAGTTAAAATTAAATCATTATTTTTATCCAAGACATCAAACCAATAAAATTGAGATTTTGACATAACCACAATATGATGAGAATTTGAATCAGTTTGCATAATACAACCAGTTTTAGTTGGAATTCTTGAAGAACCAAATAATTTATGATATTGGTCCATTGATAAAGGAACACCTCTAACCATATCAGGAGGTAATTCTTCTCTTCTTAAAGCACGAATAAATTCCAAGGATGATTGAGTTAAACTAGAAGCTCTTTTAATTTGAGTGTTATTAATTGGAGTTGGATCATCTTCTAAAAGGAAAAATGGATTTAAATTTAATACAACAGGAGAATCTGAATTTAAATAAGAATCAAACCAAAATTGTTCAATATAAGAGTTTCTTGAATTTGCATATTTTCTTAATTGATCATCTAAATAAGGTCCAATACCTTTTAAAAATGATTCAGTAGCTTTTATAGTTTCTTTATGTTCTTGTTCAGTTTGTAATGGTTTTAAGACTGATAGATAGTTTTCACAAGTTGATTTTAAATCAGGTATTGGAAGTTTTTCTAGTTTATCCTGGTAATCAAATGTTGACATGTTTGTTGGATGTGTTGATGATATTGATATTGTTGATAAGTAACTAATGATAATGATCAAACACAGCGGATGTGATGAAACTTATATATTCAAGTCTAATCTTAATCATGTCTTTTAATTGTTAGCGTTTGATTAAAATGGTCATGAAACGGTTGACTGGAGCTGACTTTCCCTTATGTAATTAGCCTCAACTAATACTAGTCAGCAATGAACACCATCACCGTTTTCCCATCAGTGCTTAAAAAACAAAAACAAAAAAACAAAAAAACAAAATCAACGTCTGTCAAAATTTGGTCATTTATCGGATTCCTACGGGAACTACAAAGTACATAGTACTACAATCACATACTTAATACTCATCTTCATTCATCCGAACTCCTAAAACATATCCAATAGTCATGGGTTGATGGTAATCATGTATTGATAGCATTGATAGTACTGATTGTGTATACACTAAGTTAATAACCAGGTCATCAAATTATCAAATTGCAAAGCGGTGAAAGGTCATCGATTAAAATGAGCCATTTACCATATGTTACAATTCTCAGCGTACGTCGGCCAAGTTTAATTTTCATTCAAAGGAGTTTCCAATGTTTTAATTTAACTGGGATTTCAATGCTTTTTTATAATTTTGACAAGTTGGGGTATAGCTTTAACTAGTTTGTTAAATATCTCACCAAGGTAATGGTGGGGTGCTATATTGGGTAATTGCGAGATTTGCAAATATACTAGATTTGGTAAATGTTCTTGAGAATTGCGTAATTTGATATTGTTTCTGTATAAATTTAACCAACAATTTGATTAATTCATAAATATATTCTGTTCAATGTCTTCCAATATATACCCAACACAACAATTGTTGAGGGACTTGTTGATTGATTAATCTTTATTGTTTCTGCAAATTCAATGTGAATGTACCTGTTCAAAATCATGGCAATTTCAATTGATCTTAATGTTCCAAGTCTATGGATCTTATTATATGATACCATCTTAGTTATAAGACGTTATAACATACACTATAGTCTAATTATTTAAATGGTACAGCTACAAGAAATAACAATTTCTATACGTTCTCATGGGTTAATTGTTACAAAATTGATTCATGATTGTTAAGCATTTGATTAATGTACGTTTCTATTAGCTTTGATATAATATAGGGCTACCATCTCTAGTAGAAAAGATCCAGGTTTCAATTGAACCATATAAAGTACTGCCTAAGTTACAGGCTACAGGCTATATATAAAGTCATATCTAATTCCAGTACATCAATCATATCATCAGCTCAAATTACTTTTTAATCATTAAACTAAATTTAACTTGTGCAATGTATAACGCGCGTATCTTCACAACGTCAATTATGTGAAGCCTAAACTATAATTTTGTTACGATCATGTACAACATCTTGAAGAAGAACCTTAAGTTGTAAATATGGATCTATATCATTGCAATTGTTATAGCTTCGTATATAAGCGCTTGAGTTAGTAAACCTCGTCATGAGTAAAAACTGACAGCTTTGAATCTTGAGCATAACTTAATACACAATTATTAAAGCTCCATACTATCATGTAGAGAGTAGAGAATTGACTAAACCTAATCTTCCATTTGCTTAATTTGTACATAGATCACTCACACAGTACACTTAAGGTTTACTTATGATTACAGACCGGAGTTCGATTCACACGTCTTATTCGTGTTTACGCAGGGAATATCATATACTATAAGCTAGCAGTATATGTATACTTAACTAGGACCAAAATGAATTTAATTAACAGGTACAGCTTCATATACTTATACATCAATGTGCCAGTTATGCAAGCTTATACAAGTTACAATTAATGTGCTCACAGCTAGATGTTTATTATAACGATTGATCACATTGACAATTAATGCATGCCCAATCAATCCTAGTTTAGTACAGGTTATTGGTGGGATATATACTTCATCATGATACAAAATTATCCATATAATTGGTATATACTATATTGTACGTATAACCTTATAACAATTATAATTAGTACCTTATACTCTTATACTAAGCGCACAATCGCTAATATTATAAGTCCGAGTTTGATCGCATCGCAGTTAAATAACAATAGGTAGTACTTACTGGTAAGTAGTGTTCAACTAATATAACTAAATATGTAGAACCGCGATGCAGATAATCTATACTATCTATATAAAATTAACCCCATGATATAATAACATATAGATACATGGATAATTAGATAGTAACTCGTATAACATATGTCTTATTTGGTTGATACCTGAAAAGTTGAAGGCTCGCATTTAAGAGCACGGAATCAGGCGGTGGTGTATTGTATATGGTCGCGAAATTTTATTAGCTTATAGACGCGTTAATAAATTGTAACACTAACAAGATCTAGTGTACTATAGAATGAATTATAGTTATACGCTATTCACATAAGACTTGAGTTATAACTTATAACAAGCTTGAAGCTGCTGGTATATCTGTACTAATTAATGACGTTCACGTTTATCTAATTGCTGTACGTCAAATATTCAGTCAAGTATATGTGATCAGTGATCACCGACGCGTTCGACAAGCTTCATCAAGATTCACGATTAAACAAACCTTATAAAAAACAAACCTAGCGCAAAATTCAAGCCCATTTAAGGCTTAAGCTATACCTATCTGTCTAATCATTATATTGGTTTTTTGAATCTTATAATTAGTTATCAATTAATATGAGTCTCAGCTTTAATATCCACGGCCCACCACGACGTTATACACAAATAAGATCAGCAGCTAGCCATGCATATCATTTTTTCTCAAACATGTATACGTATTATGCTAATCAAAGTAAGGTCGACTTTTCAAATGTATGATATGTGGATTAAAAACTTACGAAATTTTAAGTATACTTGAAACTACATATTGAACGCTTTTTCAAGGAATGTCGAAGAATCAACTGGCCCCTGGGTGAGTGGACTCTGGACTCTGGAGTTATATTATAGTGCTTAATTAAAGACTCACC